TTTTATTAGTTTTTGCAATTTTCAATTCATATTTCCAATTTTCCATATTCCAATATCCAATTCTCTTTCTTTAATTTTTTATTTCTTCTACATCAAATTTTTTTTTTTTTTAACTACAATGGATATATATTTATCTTCTATCAATTTCAATGAGGAATGAAACTACTATTTTAGTCCTAGTCCCGTTGAATTTACTAACATGAATGCAGGAAGAGATTCAAATAGTCCCGCTTTCCCGGTCTCAGAATCTGATACACCTCAAAATATGCCCCCGATTACTCCCCATGCTGCTACATCTACAGCTCCCGGTGGTTTTAGAAGTCGTCCTCGTAATCGTCGTCCTCGTCCAACTTCATCTCAAGCTGAAGCAGGTTCATCAACTGTTGTCGAAAGCGATTGACGACAAACACACATCAAACATTTGGATGCATTTCGATAAGTTTTACGAGATAGAAAATAGAGTTCAAGTGAAGAAAGCAAGATGCAAGTATTGTGGAAATGTTTATAAAGCTAATTCAGGTAATGGTACTAGTACTTTAAAAATGCATGCTAATAAACATATTGCTCAACATGGAAATAGAGAAACCAATCAAACTCAAATAACTAATATAGGTATTACTTGGCGTTATAATTCTGATGTATATAGGGAACAATTAGCTTTATATATTGCTGCAACTGATCAACCTATTAATATGGCTGAAGATAAATATTTTGAAAGATTTATTAAAAATTCATTTTTTTCTAGGATTTAAAAGTTATTCTAAAACTGCAACTATAAATGATTTAATAAAATTGTTTAAGAAAATGAAATTAGAATTAAAAAATAAAATACATACTTGTCATATTAGTGTGGCTCTAACTACCGATATTTGGGGTAGTAGAACTAAACAATATTATATTTGTGTGACTAGTCATTATTTTGATAATGAATGTAAATTAAATAAATCTTTATTAGGATTTAGATTAATGGATGTTGATCATAGTGGTCAATAAATTTATAATAAAACTGTTGAAGTTTTAGAAGATTATGATATTGTTACTAAAGTGATAAGTTTAACTTTAGATAATGCAAATTCTAAGAGTAGACCTATAGATTATTTTCAAAGTAATTATCCTTTATATAACAATTTGAAGTTTTTTCACCAACGGTATAAAAACAATTGAAGAAAATATTGACAGAATTAGAGATTGTTTAGCTTGGATTACTGGTAGTAATAAAAGAAATACTGAATTTCAAGGTGCTTGTATAAAATCAAATATGTCTCCTAGAACATTTGCATTAGACATGCCTGTTAGATGGAATAGTAATTATTTAATGTTTGATTCATGTTTACCTTATGCTAATTTAATTAGTTATTTTGTAGCAAATAATAGAGGTCATCATTATTTGGTAGAAAATGATTGGCAAATAGCTAAAGTATTTCATTCTTTTCTTAAAATTTTTTACCAATCCGCTTTACAACTTTCTTGTGTGTATTATCCTACTAGTCCATTGGTAATACATACAATTATAAAAATTTTAGAGTTATTTACAAAGAACAAAAACAATGAAATTTTAAAAGAACCAATAAAGGCAACGGAAATTATTTTTTTTAATATTTTAAACCCATTCCTTTTCTTTATTGTTTAGGTGCCATTTTTTATCCTATAATTAAACAAGAAGGTTTAGAAAATGGTTTAGAGACATTAACTGAAAATTTACAAAACTTAGCATTTGTCAATCAAATAGGAGAGGTAAAAAATTCTCTTACGGAGGTGTATTTCCAATATGAAAACAGGTATGGGAACTCGTAAAGACACGAAATGCAAAGGGAAGTTTCATCAGAAGAAACAACTGAAGACTTCTACACATGGAGTGCATTTAATAGGCCGAAGAGGAACCGGACCCGAAGTACAGGCGCAGCCTTTTGTTCAGAAGCACCAACGGCAACAACGAATCTACTATCTGCCATGTAGTCACAGAGTAACGAGCTTCAACAATATTTGGGAACTCTTGAAATGTTACCAACAGATCCACAACAAAGAGCCAACTTTGATGTTTTGGAATATTGGAAAACCAGAAAATGTATTTTTCCGGTATTATCAAGACTTGCCTTGGATGTTTTTGCTGTTCCAGTCTCAACCGTCTCATCCAAACAAACATTTAGTACAAGTGGAAGAATTTTAAATGAAAGGAGGACTAAACTTTCACAAAAAATGATTGAAGTCCTCACATGTCTTCGAGATTGGGAATGGTCGTGCCATCAAGATCAATACGAGGTTCTCGACAATACTTTAATAGAATCATTTCAATTTTGTAATATAGATGATACGGATGAGGGAGGTCCTAGTCAACCCCAAAATTAATTGTTTTGTAAATTATAACTTGTAAATTAATTGTCAATTATTGCACTTTTTTTTCTTTACCAAGTTTTTGTCCCATTGGGTTTTTCTTGGTGGGGTTTTTAACGAGACAATAATTATTGTAATTTCTTATTTTATTTTTTGATAAATGAATAAATTTATTTTTTCTTATATTACAATTTTAATGTATTAAAATTGAATTAATATTTAAAATGTTTAAAAAAAATTAATTTAATTGAATTATTGATATTTGAAAAGAAGTTAACTAAAAACAATTACATTTATTTATTTATAAATTGTTAATTATTCATTTGAAAAATTAATTAAACATTTAAATTTAAACAAAACAAAACATTAAAAAAAAAAAAAAAAAGGGGGGGGGGGGGTTAACCTGGCCCAACCCATAGCCTAACCCGATGGGTAAGGGTTAGCAGGCCGGGTTGGGCCAACCAATCCCCCAAAATTGGGAGGCCTAACCTGGCCTGCCTTTGTTGGCGGGCAAGTCAGGATCAACCCGTCAAATTGTGTAACCTGCCACGGGTCAGGCGGGTTACTTTTCCACCTCTACGCCGGCCGCGGAATAAAGTACGGCTGTCTCCACCGCCGTCGCTTCCGCCGTGGTGCTGATAGCAGAGAGTCTGTGAAACTTAAAATGCTTCAAAACTTAGTGCTTCCAAAAAACTTTGAGTCTGTTTTTACTCCCAATATCACCTTCAAGTCTCCGTTTCATAAAATTTCACTTGGAAAACCACACAAAGCGAACTTTCTAATGGAAAATCAACCTAGCAAGTCTTATGAAACTTCCAATCTAACTTGCCAAGCCTCACGTGACTCGCTCGGGACTTCTTCTCCCTGGTCCAAACTTTACTTTCAGTAATTTGCTTCACTTATTTATTTATTGAAATTGAGTTCTCTTTTATACGAAATTATATTATGTTCCAGTATCCTTGCTTGTAGCGTACCCTGTTGTATTAGTGACATTCAGCTTAAAGTTAGAAAGGTATCGTTTTTGCATTGTAACGGGACCATTAGAAAAGTATCTTTTGGTTCTATCAAATTCCATATGATGGTAATCTATAAATTCAAACGGTTTAATTAGTTACATTTTCTCAGTGTCCAAGGTAGAATTGAGTGTTATATCAACATTGTAGTGTAGGCATATGATTCAAGTCTTTAGAGTTGCCATCTTTTATGCTAAAAAAGAAATGCTCAATAGTTATTCGAAGCACCTTTTCTGGACCCTTTCATGGTAGGAATCGTATTTTATGGTTAAATATTTGATGGTCTATTATTTAATATAGGAATCCAACTGTGTAGGAAGGATGATTCAATTGTCCAGAAACTCGAAGAAAGCTCGAGTGGTGAGTCTTCAGGTAAGTTTCAGATATTAAATAGTACTGGCTGAAATATCATTGTGTTGATAGCTTCAAACAGATTGAAGTATTGCCCAGACAACTGTAATGCTTATGCAATTTTCATTTTTTGGAAAAATTATCGAAGTGAAATAGGCTGCATGTTTTTCTATTTGGAGTATCCTTTCCTTCTTACTACATATGTTTTGCTGAAAGTCGGAATTTTTTTTAGCTTTCAAATTTATATTTTTCTCGCTTACACTAGATAGTATTGTTGCTGGGGTTTTATTGTTTCACCATTCCATCTTAGCTTCTTATGATTCTGATATACCTCCTGTCAATATAGTCTATAAGTCAAGGGGGCATAAAAAGGGAGCACTAAGGGGAAATGAGTGTGACTGTGTGAGTGAGGGTTGTTACACTAAGGGGAGATGAGTCTGTATGAGGGTTGTTACAGTTTGTTACGAGATTCTGCAGGCATGTGGCTGAATAGAATAAAGTTTTTAGAGTATGGGTAGTATAGGAAGTAATTGGGTATAAATAGCTAGGGTGTGGTAAAGGAGGTATCAAGTTGATTCAGATAAGTGTTGTGGGAGGTCTCCAGCTCCTCGAATTGCTGGGAATTGTTCTGGGTTCACTTTTCTTGCTACTGTTATTTCATTCAGCTTCAATATTAACCTTCAGTTTAATCCAATTAAGTGTTATTTCGATTCTGCTCTTGTGTGTGTGTGTTGGGATTGAGTTGCTTGAACAGGTGGTTCCATCAGATTCCAAGTTGACAATTGCTTACATTTTTGCTTAATGTCTCTCCAATTTAGCATGATATTTAAGTTGCTTCCTACTATTTGCTTATTGCAGTCACACCTTGTGTTGGGATTATCATGAACTCAGATTCAGATCTTGCTGTTATGAATGACGCTGCAAAGATCTTGAGCATGTGTGTTGTACCTTACAAGTTTGCATAGTCGTGTTTTATAGTTTACTTTTGAAATTATGTATAAGGTATCTTTTTGTATAATCCAATGCTAACTCTGGAAATCGTATATACTATGAGTTTTCAGATTAGAACAATTTCAGCCATCGAACTCCTAGAATGATGCTTGATTATGCCTTATCTGCTCCGGAGTGAGGCATTCGGACCATCATTGCTGGTGATAGTAGTGCAGCCCACTTGCCAGGCAGGTTTATACATTCTGCTCTATGTCTAGTGAAGTAATGCACAAACGGTCTTACAGGGATTATGTGCTCTTTCTTAATATTTAGGTACCCGTTATTGGTGTCCCTTTGCGTGCTTCAGCATTGGATGGACTCGATTCACTCTTATCAGTTGTTCAGGTAGACTGTAGTACAAAAATGTTTCTTTTTCTATCTTATCCTCTTTAAATACTTTGAAATGGATATTTTAGCACATCTCCAAAATTCAGAACTGGAACCTAGAAGGTGCCCTTTTATTGTTGTTTGCTTTCTTGAGATTTTTTTTTATCTATTGAAAAGCTTTTATTGCTTTCTTCAAAATGACATTTGATTTATTTATTTAACATGATTTGTCTATCTACAATGTTCCAGTTGCAACACTCGCAATAGATAATGCAAGAAGTGCAGGCTTATTGGCAGCAGAAATGTTGGGAGTAAATGGCAATGTTGATCTACTTGCAAGGTTGGATCCTCTCTCTTTGTGGTTGTAAATAATGCAAACTTTTAATTTTTTAAAATAAATAAATAAAAAATTGGATGAATTGTATTTAAATTCCAAACTAATAAAATTATAATATTGCTCTCTCTTGTTGAAATATGGCGTATTATAAACTATATAACTTTCATGTTGTTCCAATTTCTGATATTGAACATGCTATTTGCAGAGTGAGCCAATATCAGGAAGATGCAGGGGATGATGTCTTGAAAAAAGCAGAGAAGTTACAGGAAGATGGTTGGTCATTTTATTGAATCCTTGGGTACCTCAATGCTTTTTTGGTGATTTATATTTAAATATGGTATTTCATCAGCTACTATAAGTTTAAGTTTGTTGAATAGTATACTTGAAATCAGAAAAATTAGTATTAAGATTTTATCAAGCCAGATTGAAAAACTTCTATAGTATTCTTTCCTTCAGTCAGCTCCATCTCTTTGCTGAAACTATTGTCTTTTGACCTGGGTTTGCAAATAATGATACTATTTACCCCCTTTCACCAATTTGAGAGTTGCGATGTTTGATTCATATTGGCATTTTATTAGTAGATCATACTGTAAGCAACAGTTGTTTACATTGGTTATGATTTGTAGCTGGATGCACTTTTGCTTAATGCCTTCACCATTGAATTGAGAAAGTATGACACTGAAATTCTGTTATTTGCTTAATACAGTTACCCCACATGTTGAGATAATTATGGGCTCTGATTCAGATCTTCCTGTTATGAAGGATGCTGCTAAGATCCTTAGCTTATTTGATGTACCTCATAAGGTTAACCTTACCGTTTTATGCATATATTCATATTCTTCAGCCATTTGATGTGTCATATTATAATCTATTTCTACGTGACCTTTTGTAATTATAATTCTCAGGTTAAAATAGTTTCAGTGCATCGGACTCCTGAAATGATGTTTTCTTATGCCTTTTCTGCTCAGGATCAAGGCACCTCCATTACCATTGCTGGTGCTGGTGGTGCAGCCCACTTTAATGACATTCTCCATATAAGCATCATAATCCACAATTTTTTGTGTGAATTACATCAGCTCGGAGAGACCTAGGTATGTGCTGCCCTTACTCCCTTGCCTGTAGGCGTTCCTGTGCGGTCTTCTGCATTGAATGGAATTGATTCACTCTTATCAATTGTGCAGGTAGTCTGTTTATTTAACTCTTACTATTATATTTATAGGAGACGTAATGCTCAGAATATTCATTCTCCTATGGTCTTAATGTTTATGAATTAATCTATTGGCACCCAATTCATGTATGATATATCTAAGAGATACCCTTTTGGTTTGTCGTTAAAAGAATATTTGTAATAGCCAGGGGCTATACATTGTAGTCTTTTGGATATGTTTAGTTAATTACTATTCATATATTATATTTTTCATGAAATCATATTTATTTATGTTAGGCCTCATTATTGGATCTGTAACTTTCACGGCACTAGAAATATTTAAATGACATGACATAAAACTACTTAACCTGTTGGCGTATCCATGATGACTTCCCTTGCACAAAAGTAATGTCCAATTGTATAGCCTGACATACCAATTATTGCTTGTATCAATTTTTCAAGAGCAATTTATATGTTATATTAGTGCTTTCGATTTTTTTTTTTTTTTAATTTTTCCACATACTGTAAATTCTAATTTGATTATTCAGATCGTGGGGATTTCCCAGTTCGCAATAAGTATGCAACAATGCGGGTTTGTTAGCAGTAAGGATGTTGGGGGTTGGCAATGCTGATCTACTGGGAAGGTGGGTTCCTCTCTCCCTATGGTTATATGATAATTCATGAAAATAGTAATTTAATGATTTTCCTTTGCTCCTGCTTATTGTGTTTTGAACAGAAGAGCCAGTACTTGAAAGACATGAAGAACATGTCTTGACAAAAACTGAGAAGCTAAGCAAGATGGTTGGGAGTCTTATTTGAATCATTAACTATGTTAATGCTGTTATGGAGAGGTTTTTTTTTTTTTTTTGGTCCACTAACAGTGAGAAAGTCAGTTACATATTTGTGATTATAAAATCAATAAAGATTGACTCATATCCAATCTTACAAAATTTCTCTCACAATCTTGAAATGATAACTCACAATTAGAGGGTGGGATCCATAGTGAATAGGCGGATCCGTTTGCCAGTTGCCATTTCAGTTATGAGAAAAATTTATAGATTAGATTGTAAGTATAGATTTGTCCTTACATATAAATTGGTAACTTTAATAGGATAAAATGTAGAAAAGTTCATTGTAGGGCAAAGGTTGAGGAAGAGGCAAGTTTTTTGTCTGTGATTTTGTTGCCATAAGATGGTTTAAAATTAAAATTCTATGTTTTTTTTTATCTTTACTAGGTTTGTTACTATTTAATTTATAGATAGATGGAGAGCAAATGCAAGGACTGCTAGTATGGATATAATCTTAAAAGAATATGAATTCATTATAAAAGAGCTCTTTAATAATGTTAAACTATTAAGGAATAAATTTTAATAATGGTTCTTTGTGAAGTCCTAATAGATATGCTCATAGATTAATTGGGGTTTATTCCTTTTTAGAATAAATAAAGAAAAGTACATTGGAAACCTATCTAATTAATGACCTGGACAAGACAACCAAAAGTACTTTAATGTGGGTAGTACTTCTTATAAAGATTGTATACAAAATTAAGCAAGTGGATTTCCCTTTAATTAAAATTTCCTTTATTTTCATTTTATGAGTGATTTTATTTTTCACTTTGAATGCTAAACTTCATAAATTGTTTTCATTGAAGTAGCTGTTTACCGAATTTTAACAGATTTCAAAGCTGATGTGCTTTTTTCAATATCGCCCCTCAAGCGAAACAACAAGGTGAACTAAAGCTTCTCACAAGTTGCTGTTTCTTTCTTCTAGGCATATTCTCTAGACTCTAGTTAGTACATTCTTTTATTAATAGTGATCGAGCACGATCTATCAAGATTAATATCATGTGTGCCTACTTGAGAATTTCCAATATAGAATAAAACCTTAATCTACCGCGAAAGCTCCCAACCTATGGATATAGTACCATCCAGCTCTCTACCAGAGATACGTGGAGTAACAGTCGGGCTTTCACAAAGTTCGGCTTCACCGCCCATGTCAGGCAGCTAAAGAGCCAAAGTAACTAAATTTTTTCTTTGGTTGGATGACTTTGTGCCTATTTTACAAAAGGATGCAAAGTCCTCACAGTTGTTAAAAGCAAAATTGTAGTCAGCAAAGGTCCTTATTCCTGGAAAAACTCAGTGGCAGTCTTCACAACCTCATCGGGCGGCTTGCAGTTAGTCGGGTTAATATATATAAGAGTGGCCATCAAGAAGCAATCCAGGCACGTTTTGACGATCCCACCATGTAACCTGTTGTGCCCACTTTTTGCATGGAAGAGAGTTACTTTGCTTGCAAGTGGGTAGCAATGATGACCATGCCGTCCCCCACTATATTCCTGTTTATAATCAAGGGAGTTCTCGACGAAAGAGAACATAAATACATATACAATATGATTATATATGACTTTTATTGAATTGAATAAAATATAAATAACAATTTAGAATATATGGAGTCTATATACTTACCTACCAAATGATCAGTAGTACCACAAAATATAATGAGATTACAATAATTCCACTGAAAATTTTGCCAATGCAAAAGTTGGTGAAATTGATTTGATATATCATTAAAATTGGCGAAAGCTTAGATGGTGTCCGTTATCAACACTATATATAATTATATATAATATATTAGTTTGGTTTTGAAAGTGAAATATGTAATGTATATGTATATATATATACTCCAATTAGATGCAAGTTTAAAAAGTGTGAAAACTGAAAACTACCGTGATGATAGTAGGCACCTCTGTTCTAGCGATTTGATCACCCAGTTGGGCCCCGTGGCTGGCTTGAACTTTGTCCCATCTTAATAAAATTTTCCCTTAATTTTCAATTTGTGATTAGAGATTATCTGCTTTGTAATTAAACCATTAAATTTATAGATAGATTATGAGAAAATGCAAGGACTACTAGAGATTGGAATATAATCTTAAAATGATATGAATCAATTACAAAGGAATTGCTTTATAATAATATTAAAATTGTTAAGGAATAAATTTTAATAATGGCTCTTCTGTGAAGTCCTATTGAGATATGCCCATAGATTAATTGAATTATTCCTTTTCAGAATAAGAGTAAAAGAAAAATATATTGGAGTATCTCATTCTAATTGTAAAATTTTGAAGAGAATGACAGCATATCTATAATGACGATGCCGTAGGGTGAGCACGGTAGCGGATAGAACCGGAACCGGGGTAAGAACGGAACCAGAACCGGTAAGAACCGGAACCGAAACCTACCCAGACCTGCACTGTGCGGTAGGTTCCGGTTCCAATTTTTTGAACCGCTACTGTCGCGGTTCCGGTTCCGGTTCTTGCATGTGAGGAACCGGAACCTGTAAAAAGGGTACCCTGTTTGGAACCTGTAGGGGATACCCGGTTTGGAACCTGCTTTGGAACCTGTTTGGAACCTGTTTGGAACCTGTTTAAGAACCTATTTGGAACCTGTTTTGGACCTGTTTGGCACCTGTTTTGGAACCTGTTTTTAGAACCTATTTTGGAACCTGGACTAAATGAAATATTTGTGAAATGTAAATAATGGGTGAGTTTTCATTATTTACATATAAAAAATTTAAAATAGAAAAGTTAATTTTTAGAATAACCTAATTAAATAAATATACGAATACAAATACTTTAATAACATTTTACACCATATTAAAACTTTAATATATTTAATACATTAATATTAAAGTTTTGATCAATTAAGTGAATAACTGGAATTGTGATCCAATTAAAAGTGCTTTACATTTTTAATGTTAAAAATTATTTTTGAATAAATAGTATATTTGATTGAGTAATAATATTTATTTATTTACTTCAATTATCAGTTATAAGTATATCTATAATAAATTAGTAATTAATTAATTATATATGATAAATTGATAAACATTAATAAATTTAATTATTGTTAAATATCATATTTAATCAATTAACAACATTACATTATGTTAAATGATTACTTAATTATTTATAATTTTATAACTTACTTATTGATTTATAGTATAATTAATTATAGCATTACATTAATTGATTACTACTAATTAATTAACTTAAATTTATAGCATATTAATAGTTAATTAATTGACTTATAATTAGAAATTTAATTAATTATAGCATTACGTTATAGATTTATAGTATAATTACTTAATCAATTATAACATTTTATTATAACATTAGTACAAACTTAATTAAATGATTAAAAATTTAATTAATTATAATATTATTAAAAATTTATAGTTAATTACTTAATAGTTAATTCACTATAACATTACATTATAGTATTTTATATAATAAATTGTAACATTACATAATTAAATAATTACTTAATTGATTATGTCATTATATAAATATTAGTAATCACTAATTTACTACATAACATTAGCATAATACTTAATTAATATAAGAAATTTAATTAATCATAACTACCTTAAAACATTTCATTATAAACATTAATTAAGCATTACATTATTTAATAATTACTCAATTAAATTATAATATTATTATATTACATTATATATTATGAAACTACTTAATTATAGCATTATATAGTAAATGATTACGAATTACATAATTAGTTATAATTTATAACATTACACTATAACATTAGTAATTTACTAATTTACTATATTATTATATTACTTAATTAAACGATTAAAAATTTAATTAATTATAAAATTACTTTATATATTTATAATTAGTACTTAATCAATTATAACATTCCATTATAAACTGAGTATATTATCAATGATTTGAAATTTAATTAATTATAATATTAAATTATAGATTTATAGTATGATTACTTAATTTATTATAACATTACATTATACTATTATAGTTGATCATATAATTAATATAACATTACATAATTAAATGATTATTAATTGATTATGAGTTATGATATATGTTTTAAACTTATTGATTACTAATTTACTCATAAACATTACACAATACTAATTAAATGATAAAATTTAATTAATTATAACTTTACCTTATAAACATTCATTATAAACATTATTAACATTACATATAGTTAAATA